CGATGGGTCTCCACTCCTCCCCTCGAACTGCAGCCTGTGGGATGGGCAACAGTGCCAAGGAACAACCCCCAGCCCAAAAAAGGTGTTTGGGGCAGGGAAAGCACAGCTGGGACCAGAGTGGGGGGAAAGGAGGATGTGACTCCATCCCGATCGGGACAGGGTTTTCCTGCAGCCCAGTCTGGGAATGCTCTTGGAATTCACACAGAAGTACAGGTCCATGGGTTTAGGGGTGCCTCCTGCTCCCAGCCCCCCAAAAGCCCCTCTGCACTCACCAGCAGGTAGATGCCGCTGGCGATGCCCAGGCAGACGGTGCCGAGGATGGTGGAGAGGAGGAATCCGGCAGGGACAGCCAGGCTGTGACAGAGATTTGGTGCTCAGGGGGAGCTGGGGGGGCTCAGCCCCCAGTCCCGACCCCGCACCCCACTCACGCGGCATGAAGGATGGCTCGGACGTAATAATTCCTGGTGAGGGGCCCGAACAGCTTCACCACGGCTGTCAGGTACTTCTGGCCACTGCAGGGGGACAGCAGGGGGTCACAGGGGCTGTCCCCACCCTGGGGGGACACCCAGCCTCCAGGGACCCCCATCTCTGCCAGCATCACCCCAAGGAATCCCCCCCCGTGCCACCCAGCTCTGCTCCCGCATCCCCGTGTTTGGGGGTACCAGGACCCGGCTGCAGGGGGGACACAGCACTCACCACCTCTCCATGGTGGAGCCCTTTTTCCGCTTGCTCCTGGGATATTCCAGCAGGCAGACCAGGACGCCTGCCGCGCTGCCGGAGCGTCAGGGAAAAGGCAGAATGGGACCGGGAACGGCCCCAAGGAACCGGGAACGGCCCCAGGGAACCGGGAACGGCCCCAGGGAGCCGGGAATGGACCCAGGGAGCCGGGAACGGCCCCAAGGAACCGGGAACGGCCCCAGGGAACCGGGAATGGCCCCAAGGAACCGGGAATGGCCCCAGGGAACCGGGAATGGCCCCAGGGAACCGGGAATGGCCCCAGGGAACCGGGAATGGCCCCAGGGAACTGGGAACAGCCCCAAGGAACCGGGAATGGCCCCAAGGAATCGGGAATGGCCCCAAGGAACCGGGAATGGCCCCAAAGAACCGGGAATGGCCCCAGGGAACAACCCGCATCCCAAAAAGGGGTTTGTGTAGGGCAGGGAAAGCACGGCAGGGACCAGCGTTGGGAGGTAAGGATGTGACCCCGGCCCGTTCACGCCTCCCATCCCGATCGGGACGGGGCTTTCCCGCAGCCCAGCCCCGGGAATGCTGTCGGGAAGGATACATGGAATACGCCGCGAAGTACCAGCCCTTGAACTGCCCCGCCACGGCCACGATGCCGCCCGTCAGCAGGACTGCGGGAACAGGGATGGAGGGGTCACACCGGGACTACCGACCCCAACCCGGGACACAACCCCCCAGACCAGGACACCGACCCTCAGCCTGGGATACAGCCCCCAGCTCGGGATGTGCCTCCCCCAGACCCCGGACACAGCCCCCCGCAAACCCCCAGAGTGGGGTTTTGTCCCGGGGGACACTCGGGACCCCCCGGATTCGGGAGGGGAACCGGGGGTTCCGTGGTCCCAAGGACTCCGACATGCGGGATGCGGGGCAGATGCTGCGGGCGGGACCCCCGGCTCAGGGGACTCCGGGGCCCCGGGGGAGGTTTTTGGCCTCGTGGCCGGAGGAGAGCGGAGGAGGAGACGACGGAACCGAGAGGGCAGAGGAGGAAGAGAAAAGGAGGAAGCGGAGGCTCCAG